TTGATTTGTAAATAACAAAGTTTCGGGTGCTCTATTGTAATTACCCCAAAATACTATATTTGTATTTTTGGCATTGAGAAAATGTTGTAAAAACTTTGGAATATGATTTTGAAGCGATGAAAAGGAATATTATATATATATTTTTATCAATAGCAAGTAGAAATAAAAAAAAATTAAATGAAATTATTTGATATTCATAATCTTACTTTCAGCCTTTTTTATGTAAAGTAAAATATACAATTATTATGGCAATTAGCCAAATAAGCGACAACTAACTAATTATTCCATCAAATTGTTACCAAAAGAAGAATGTCTCCTCAATCTTTTAGTGTGTTGCACTCAATGCAAATAAAGGCCCTTTTCGGTTGGTTAGTTGCTCTGCAAGCAATGAATATTTTAGGCAGCAATATCAAATGTTGGAATGTATATTTAAAATGCAACATAAAACATGATTAGCTTAAAGTTTACATTAAAATCTACATATAATTGTTGTTATATATATCCATTACTTTTTTCAAGAAAGATGAGCCGAAAGAGCAATATGTGTTATTTGAACCTCCCCGAGGGCTTAGAAATTTTTGTTAATGCTATTTTTTTTGGGAAAGGCAAGTCAAAAGGACAATATGCATAATTTGAAACAGTGGCAAAAAGTTAAGAAAATCATTTTTTTTTAGAGTGCGTTTGTGGCAGCGGCGCTGTAGCGGTGTGATGTTACACCACAGTTTTTTCTATTTGGCAAAACTATGCTTTGGTTTTATTCTAAAAAAGACTGCAGTTGAAAGTTATGTTTTCTCACATGACCTTGCTACCTACAATGATTGCTAGAAAGCTGAGTTTGAATTGTTAAGGTTTTTTTTTTTTTTAATTGCCATCGTCATTTTTCGAACTGTAATTTCATCTTCAACAGCTTCATACCTACTTCTTCAAATAACTGCAACTACACCAAACAGACCCTTAGTTTTCAGCACACAATACAATATGATATATTTTTTTTGGCTGATACATAATATTGAGGTCATAATCAATCAACCATTATATTAGTTTTCTTGTGCTGAAAGGTAATATTGAGGTCATAATCATTCATTAGTTTCAACGATCTTTTATTGTACCTTAAGTTTAAAAATATAATTTTATGATTAAATAATATTATAAATAATATATGCGTAGCATATGATATGCTGAGAAGAAAATATTTAGTATTTTGAAAATTAATTAATTATACAAAATATTTTAGCAGTTTTATAAGCCCGTGACTAAAATGATGGGGAAACATTTTGACACATTATCCCATAAATAATAATAATAATAATAAAAAGTATATATCCTAAACGAAACCATGCTCTGCTTAGAAAAGAAGCTGGGGACCACGGTGGGAATAACGGTCCGATAAGCATCCGATCAGTTCCGGTATACTTCCCGCCCGCTTTCCCCACCCCCTCCCAATCCGCACTCATTCATTGGATCGTACATTCGACTCCACCCGCCTTCCAACCTTTTCTTCTTTCTATTTTAGTCGGGGGAAGAGCGAGAGAGAGAGAGAAGCGGTTGTGGAGGGAAATTGGGGCAGAGCGGATGCGGAGCATATTGGTGACCGGCGGAGCGGGATTCATCGGGACTCATACGGTGCTGCAGCTCCTCAAAGAGGGCTTTAGGGTTACAATTGTGGATAACCTCGATAACTCCGTGATGGAGGCCGTCGATCGCGTCAGGACCATCGCCGGTACGGAGCTATCCGGGAACCTCCGATTCTATTTGGTATTTTGATTTTTTTCTTTTTTTCTTTTAATTTTCTGGTTCTTCTTGTCTCGGATTTTCAAGCTTCTATCGCTGCTGTGTTTCTAATTTACTGTTTCGATTTTTGACCGCAGGGTGATCTCCGTAACAAGGATGATCTGGAAGAAGTTTTTTCCGAGAATAGGTCAGATTCTTTTTATTTATTTATTTTTAATTTGTTGAATTCTCGTTCAATGTTTGTCTGTTTTGAAATTTGAGTTTGAAGTGGGAAATTTGAAATTTAATCTTTGTTTTCTATTCGCTAATTCTGCTCATGAGTCCGTGTGGCTTGTCCATGGTTCGGGTTTAGATTGGGTTGGTCAGAACTCGCATCAGAATGAATAGTTTTTTTTTGTTCGGATTGAAATTGGATAGAACAAGTGCAGTTTCTTTCTCTTTTTTGGGGCATTTACGAACATACCACCCAATTCTTATGTATTTACATGTCTGATACCCGAACTTTGATCTTTACATTTTCACCAACTAAATTTTTCTGATCACATCAAAGATACCACTATTTTAACTTTTAAATAGTGAAATACACATTTTCATGCGAAGGTAAGGGTGGCATATATGAAAAAAATTGAATTTAAGGTGTTGGATGTGTAAATACATAAGAATTGAGTGGCATGCATGTAAATTTTCATTTTCTTTTATGTGAGATTTGATTTATTTTATATGGGACAGCTTTGACGCTGTTATCCACTTTGCTGGACTGAAGGCTGTTGGGGAGAGTGTTGTTAAGCCTTATTTGTATTACAACAACAATTTACTCGGCACACTGAATTTATTTGAGTTTATGGAGAAGTATGGATGCAAGAAGGTACGCTATTTCCACTTTTATATTTCCTTTTATATCCATTTTCTAGCTTTAGTTTTCTCAACTCTAATTTTGTGGTGCCCGAAAATTAGCCTTATAACTTTTTCTTAGCCATTTAATCTCTAACAAGTGTCATGCACATATCTTGTGTCATCTATCCAACAATTTATGAGATCTTATCGGGCTGATTTGCTAAAAAAGGGTTTTAGAATGAACTTTCCTATCTTATATTAAATCTCTTTTCATAACAATTTTCATCTCATCTCTTACTTAGAGATAAGTGGGAGATGATCAAAATGAGCTCCAACACCATAACGACTGCAAGATAATGGTTGTCTACGAACCCCTCTTGAAGAGATCAAACCCTGCGTGGTTCTTCAAAATGTTTAAATGAGCAATCAAGCTCAGATGTTTACCAAATTTCTAAAGTGTGAAATTTTGGACTGGTAGTACCTTTGTGAGCATATCTATTAGATTTTTTTTCAGATCTATCTTCTTCAACTGAATATTGTCGTCATTAATTAAGTTTCGAATAAAATTGTGTCTCGCATCAATGTATTTGGTACGAGCATGATAAATTGAATTTATAGCTAAGAATACCACATTCTGACTATCAAAGAAGACTGTCAGATACTTCTGATCAACTCATAAGTTCATAGTTATCCAGTAGACCATGCATCCATATCGCTTCCTTCGTTGCCTATATGACTGTCATGTACTCAACATTTATAGTAGTCAAAGCAATAATAGATTGAAGAACCGATATCCAACTGATTGAATTTCTTACCAATTTATATAAATAGATAGTCATATTCATGCGTCTATCCTTATCACTTATATAGTATAAATCGGTGTAGCCAAGATAAAAGTCGATATTAGATGATTGCATTTTAAATACTAAGCCAACATCAACTGTATCATTCAAATACTTCATATTACTTTTCACTGTCTATCAATGACTTATTTTTGGATCATGCAAGAACCTGATTGTAACACAAACTGATAGTATATTGTGTAGTTTAGTACAAAATGACATATATCATACTGCTCATTAGTTAGCGTAAAAAACTAATTACATATCTTTACTCTCCCGATCATTTTTAGGACACTGATTTGAATTCAACTGAAAGTGAGATGTAATAGATATACTCACTGTCTTGCTCGAGTCATCAACCCCAAAGTTCTTCACCATATTCTGAACATATGCTCCTTACGAGAGCCAAAAATTTCCAGTTGTATTGTTCATGAAAATTTACATATCAAGAATTCTTTGAGCTTCACTCATCTTCTTTATCTCAACATCTTTGGACATTTTCTTTTTCATCTTATCAACAGTTAGATTGGCAGATGCAATCAACTTGTCTTCAACATATAGAAGCAAATAGATGAATTCACTATTGATTAAACTTTTATAAAATATGCATAATGATCATATTTGTTTATCATATACTTCTGTCCCATAATAAACTGATCAAACTTCTTATATTGTCGTCATGTTGACTATTTTAACCCATATAAAGACTTGTTCAATCTACAAATCAAATTTTCGGATGCTCCATATCCAGGAGACTGCAACGTATAGATCTTCTGTTGTAATGTTTCATATAGAAACGTAGCCTTCACATCAAACTGCTCCAAAATCAGACTGTATTTTGCTATAAATGCGAAGAGAACACAGTTCGAGAGATGTTTCACCACTCGGGATAAAGCATCGTCATAGTTAAGCCCTTCTAATTGTGAAATTCTTTTTCTGCTAACATTGTCTTGTACCGCACATCAATTTTATGAGATTCTTCCTTCTTTGCATACATCCATTTGTATTCAATGACTTTCATTCATGGGAAAAGTTTCACCAGCCTCCAGGTAGCATTCTTTGGAAGAGAATTTATCTTTTCATCCATTGACCCTCGCCAAAGATTATCGTCTAGGCTCTCACCACTTCTTTGTAGTGACAAAATTTCAGCCTCCATGGCTAAAAATACAAATGCAATGTGATCTCTCAATCAAGTTGATTTTGGGATATTATAGCGTCCGACCCTGCTTCTAGCAATTGATTCTTGAGCAGCGACGTCATTCTCAACATTTTCTTATACCTTCTTCTAAATAAGTATCTTCTAAGTTGCAACAAAATTAGGTGCTTGAATAGGAGTGGGAAAATTCTATAAAATAAATGGAGTTGCATCAAACTCCAACTTTTAATGCATATATGCGGTCCCAATATAACTTTCCAACTGGTTCGAGTCACGAGGCTTCAATTATCTCACATTGTTAAATGTAACAAATATGCTAATGACAATCTTCTTCTTTGCTTAATCATAAAATTTGAACCCCTAACTCTATGCCTAAAATCAATGAAGATCACATTTTTTGTTTGTTATCCTAGTTTATTATTTTGCATGTGGTAGTAAGTTGGACACCTAAACACTCTCATATGCTCATAATACCTAGTAAGATGCTCTGACCACTTCTCTTTTGGGACTTTCTTTCAATAGTTGCAGAAGACAGATGATTCACCAAATGAGAAGTATAGTCTATGATATCGTCCCAATAGACTTTTATGTAATCTAGAGTTGGATAACATTCACCAAATTTTGTGAACATACTTTGAAATATTCTTTATACTGTGTGGATGACAATACCTAGGGGTGGACCCAGGTAGAGTCCAGGAGGAATTGCTCCGCTTAAATTCAGACATTTACTTATATGAGAGAAATTTGGTTGTTTGCCCCTCCTAAAATATTAGTTTTTCCCGTCATAAAATATTACTTTGTTTTTCGTTGCCCTAGCCCCTCCCACAATTAACCCCCTTAAAAAATGAGACTGGTTCAGCCCTTAACAGTACCAAAAGATACCCGTGTCTTTTTGCAAATAAAACATGTTCACATTAATCAAACTTGCAGGTGTTTATTTCTTTGATCAATCCTTACTTCACTAAAGCTTAAGGTGAAACCTTCAGCATAAGCTAACTGCTAGTGACGTGAGAAGAATCATCAACAGCAATAGTCGTTCCAATAATTGTACTACCTTGAAAGTAATAAGGGTTGTGATGACGAACTCCCTTTATAAAAATCAATTCTCCACGATATATTGTTAGAACTCATGTCTTAAAAAGTACATTATAGCCCTTAGTCTCTAAGGCCCCAACATATAGCAAATTCTTTATGAGATTCAAAATAAATATAACATTAGTCAGCTCCCTTATAATATCATCATATATTTTGATAAAGATGCTGTTGTCGACACTATTTTTAGTTAAGGAGTTGCCCGTTAGAAGTTGTCGGCCACCGGAATCAAAATCTCGTCCCCCGTTTTGGAAGGACATTTAATTTACATATATATTTAAGTTTAGAAAAATATGAGATTAAACTGACCTCATATTTTTCATAATTTAAATGAAAGAGCACTATATACCTCAAACTCTGTATCTATCTCGAAAGATAAACACAAGACTTAAGGATGAGACTCAATCAAATAAGCTAAGGAATATATGACATCCGCTTGGTTTGCAAAACCGTTTTATTTGCAGACAATTTCTCCTACCTATAAGGATTAGATAGAGTTTATTTTACCTAGGTTCTAAGTTTCTTCTAGAGGCAAACCCCTATAGTTAATTACTTCTTAAATGACCGAGATCACCTAAGAAAACTCTCGATTAAAATCAGTGGTTTTACTTTTTAGATTTCAAAGATTAGGTTTCCACAATTGAACATGTGAAAATCAAATGGGAATGACTCAAATAGGAACAATTATTTTATGGAATCCAAATAAGCAAAGGGTAGGAGATATCATAGATCCAGAGATCAAATGGGAATGACTCAAATAGGAACAGTTATTTTATGGAATCCAAATAAGCAAAGGGTAGGGGATATCATAGATCCAGAGATAACCCCAGTGACCTCCCAACTATCCTATTGTTTGGCTTTATGTATTTGAAATGATGTTATTTAATGTTTAATTATGCAATTTATTTTAGAATTTAGGACTTATATTCACACGATATCTAATCGTGCAATTAACCTAAAAAGATAGGAGGATTTACATCATATCGTACGGTAACCTCAAAATCCTAAGTGTTAGGACTTATAATTGCATAACAGGGTAGTACAAAAGTCTAAAGGTGATATGTGAGGGTTTGCGCTGCGCTAGACAAACCACCTTGAAATCCTATGGGTTGTTATTTAAACTAAGAAAAGTGTTTATGTGATGTGTTTTGATGTTGCAGATCTTTCTTGAAGTTGTTCCTCATCGTGCTGCCCACAGTATTTGCTCCAAGCTCTTTGTAGTAGCACCTCCGGGTTTAATGTTAACCCTATATAACCACTAGGTTTTCCTAAACTAAAGTATAGTGTGTATCAAAATAACAAAACATGCAGTATAAAAGGAAATAACAGTATAATGTACAGTAAAAAAGAAATGACAGTATATCATGCTGAAAGAATAGTATAACGTGCTAGGAAAAACAGTATAACATGCTGGGAAAGAATATAACATGCTAGAAAATAAACAAAAATGCTGCAATGTAAATCACATATGTAAATTTGGGAAGTCTGCTGCTTCTTTATGCTAGCTATTATTCACTGTATAAATAAAAAAACGTTGCTTGGAAACTTCGAAAAAATCGACAAATAAATTCACGAAGAAGAATTCGAGAAAATTGACGAGTAATAATTTAAATAAAACTATTAAAATCTCGGGAAAATCCCGAAGAAAAGTCCACAGGTGCTTTGTCCAAAAAATTCGATAAAAACATATGAAAAAGTCCGAAAAGAGGGGACCGAAGCACTCGGGTCGAGGCTAGGCTCAAATATATATATTTGTACTCGAGGGAAGAGTAGAATGATATCTCATCCTACAACACCGGCGTGCCTTTGCCCCAAAATAAAACCGACCTACTTGCGACCTTGCTTGATGGTTTCACATATAATAAAAGACTATACATGAGCACTTATGTATCAGACATAAGCATAGAAAACCAAACCAAGAAGCAATGAAAGAAAAAAAAT